TTACAATTAGGTCACTCAAATACACTTTAAAAATGCGTTTTAATATAATTAAAATTACGTTTTCTTATAAAAATACATTATAAAATTATTTAAAAATACATTTATTTATAAAATTAATTGAATTTTCGGGCCGGGCCGGGCCGGGCCGGTCCATAGTCGGTCCCATAACCGGTCCCGGTCCCGGTCGGTCCCGGTCCCACGAAACTACCAAAAACCTCAACCGGTCCTGGTTTTCGGTCCCATAACCGGTCTTTACCGGTCCCGGTCCCGGTCCCGGGCCGGGCCGGGCCCATTTGGCCATCTCTAGCATCTACAGTGATGGAACAACCTCAGTTTTCATCTGGGTTTTTTAAGATACCAGAATAAGTCTAAAGGGATTTGGTTTTAATTGTTTGGCGAATCAATCAAATGGATCCAATCAATAGGTTGGACCTTCATTCACATGTTTGGATGTTGGGGGATGGAAAAACAAAAGCAATTAAGAAACAAACTTAAAAGAATTGGAGATTTTCCCTTCCCTTGTCGGGTTATAGGGGCAGCACCCCTCTTGATGGTCCTGCTGACCGGTCAATGGGCGGGGTCAAGGGGGCCATGTCCCAAAATAAAAAAATAAAAAAATTTAAGTGAGCAAACACAAATGATTTTTGTCGGATGGTTACCGCCTTACCGGTGGTTGTTTATCAATGTTCGTAAACAACGATGAAACTTGCGTCTAGTGGCAACGAATGTTGTCATATTCTATAGTTTTCCCTTTGCTACATGAGAACCAAGATAAGTTGTTTCAGCTTTCAAGGCTCACTTAGATAAACCTAGAGGGTTAGCTCACTGACAATAAAGGCCCCGGCCTTTGGTACTCATCTCCATAGGTCACCAATTCGAGTCGACCACTAGAATTTTCCTGGTTGTCTCTTTGGATTCCCCTGGAATTAGTTGAGGTACATGCAAGCTGGTATGGACACCCACAGTTAAAAAAGGCTTGCTTAGATATCACCCATGATTCTAGAATTGCCGAGACACCACATTATTGGCAATCGGGCTTCAAGTCCTTAATTATTTAAAAGATTAATAATTAAGATACAACTAATCTTAACATCTAACTATCTTCATCTTGCGACTAGACTAGTTGTTATAAGCTCTACAGGAACAAACATATATATATATGCAGTTGAAAAGCATGACATGTGGTAACATATCTACACTTACATCCAGTAAATTTAGGAAAACAGACGCTCTATTCTTTAGCCACTGCATTTGAGTGGGAGATATTGGGCTTGGGTGGTTTGTTTTTGATACTCCATTTTTTCATTTTAAATTAATTCATGGTTATTAAAAAATTATGATAAGCAGTAGAAGGGATGCTAGCTATTATGGTATGACTCGTGTCATCATTTCACCTAATCTCTAAATATAAACATCAGTCTAACCTAACCATTTGGTGGCATACTCTTGTTTGCACTTTTATCAGTAAAAGAAAATCAAATGGCTGCCATTGCTGCTACTACTACTAGTATGAATATAATTATTACAAACTGGCCATTTACTATCAGTTTCACGGTCACCACTTAAGTAAATATCTTTTATCCGGTAAACGTTTATCTGTAAGAGTCACCACTTAGTAAACATATTTTACCCGGTAAATATTTATCGGATAATAGTTTTCTCCCTCACTTACGAGGTAAGATTCTTAATTTTTGCTATATCTCTTACTGGGTAAGATTTTTGGTCCGTGCCATGCTCACTTGATAAAATAAGTGACAGCCGATAAGCATTTTGTAAACGACCAAACAAAAACACTAGGAAAAAAGGCATAATAATGAGTATTTGATAAGTTATCTAAGCAAGTACTTTGGGTTAATCATATTATCGCAAACCAAAACGAAATTATAAGATTAACACCAATACACTATGCTTCATCTGTCTCGAAGCTAATAAAGTTATTTGGTTGAGTATTGATGAAATCATGAAATATCTAAAATACCCTTGAAATAAAGTATTTTTTCTTTTTATCTTTACGGAACACAGGCTCTATTAATATTGGACTGATTTTGGTTTTGGTTGGAAGTTTATAATAACCATATCTATATATAGAGAGAGAGAGAGGAAGTTCAGTTGCAAACTTCTTTTCTGTTGTGAACCGGATGACAAAGGAGAGTGACATATGTTCCCATTCATCGTGAATAATGAACGTGAAGATTCATAATAAATGTTACACTATTCGGGATAAATATCTCGTGAATGTTTGGGGCACATGGTAATGGAACTTAAGTTTGCAACTTAATCCGACCATATATAGTATATATATATATATATATATATATATATGAAAAACTGAGGAACACCCTGGTAACTATTCATCTGGACGATAAGCATATATGCATACAGGTAATTTTAAGCAGTTTGTCTGGTATGAACATGTGCATAAAAACCAAGAAACAACTTTAATTACTGGTATGCACATGTTTATAACGTCCAGATGAAAGGTTATCAGGGTGTTATTCAGTTTTCCATTTTTTTGAGATTGTCCCCCGAACCTCCCCCCTCTCTCTCTCTATATATATATACACACACGTCCCTGGTTTTTAATGCTACCTGGAGAAGAGCTCTACGCAAAGATTCCATCTAAAGAATCTCTTAGCATAGCAAACGTATGCAATCACTTATTTCTTGCATATGAATGACTACCTGAGTGGTTCACCAAGAAACATAGCTCTCTCTCTCTCTCTAGCCAATGGAAAACAAATCCACAAAGAAAGAAATTAACAGGGGAGCATGGACAGCAGAAGAAGATGAAAAGCTAGCTGAAGCTATACAGATACATGGTCCTAAAAAGTGGACAGCCATTGCAGCTAAAGCAGGTACATTTTTATAAAACAAAAATATAAAAAAAAAGTTAAAACCATATATGTGGTTAAATTATGATCAGGTTTGCAGGTTTGCAGAGGTGTGGTAAGAGCTGTAGGCTAAGATGGCTAAATTATTTGAGACCAAACATCAAGAGAGGAAATATATCAGACCAAGAAGAGGACTTGATTATTAGGCTTCATAAACTTTTAGGAAACAGGTTGCCATGTTTTCTTGCTTTATCATCAATATTTGTGGATGATTATTGAGAGAATAACGAAGGATCGTGTGAGAATAGGGGTTAAGGTGAGAAGCGTAAGAAGGGATCTGGACCTTTGATCACTTTTAATCTCACCCCCATCCCATGAATTGTGCTTCTCATGGGAATTGATCCGGTGCATATTGTTGCACCGCATTAGTGTTGATCTTCAATTAGGATTGAACTAAGAGTGGAGATCCCTTCTTACCTTTCTCACCATAACTTCCATTCTCACGGGAACCCAACCCTTGAGAGAATATGGAGAACCCCCACTCAATCTCCAAAAGAGGAGAGTAAGGAGGTTCCAACATAGATGGAGAATTGGTCCATATTCTAGCCGATGTGGGACTCTAACACGCCCCTCCGGTGGAGGCTAGACGGACACTTATTGTCCCAAAGTGGCGAGAGGGGGCTAGGCGAGTAAAGATTGCCCCGACCCCCAGAGTGTGGAGTCCCTAGAGTGATCTTTGGCTCTGATACCATGAAAGAATATGTGGAACCCCCAATTAATCTCCAAAAGAGGTCTTAAGGAGAGAAGGGAGGTTCCAATATTTATGGAGGAGAATTGGTCCAAGTCTAGCCGACGTGGGACTTTTAACAGTTATGTCTCAGAATCAAAGGGCAATTTCAATACATTGCAAAGGATAATGATGGTTCTTGTTCTCTAAATACGATTATTAGGTGGTCACTGATCGCAGGAAGATTACCAGGTCGAACCGATAATGAGATCAAGAACTACTGGAATTCTCATTTAAGCAAAAAGAAGGAAATAATGGAAAAACAAACCGGTCATTATTCAACAAGGGAAGGCTCGAAACTAGCTGAGATGAAAGAGGAGGATCATATCACCCCAATAGATGAACACGGGGTTGAATGCTCGAAGGTCATCTTTAACGTTGACGAGTTCTTTGATTTCTCAAATGAGGACCCCACAACCTTGGATTGGGTTAACAGGTACCTTGCTGACACTGATAGTGTATTTCTTTCATGAACTCTCACTTACCTCAGTATGCATCATCTAGTTCAGCAAATAGAGTAAATAACCGCATGCATATTTCAGATTTCTGAGTTCTCCCAAGTCCTGATGCTTCTATCTATAAAACGCTAATTACTTAGATCTGTTACGAATGGTTCTATACAGCCGGTGTCATTTATCCTATGTGCAAGATATATGGAAAGATTCAGACTTCAAAATAGATATAAGGCAACATGAGATGAAAGTATGTGATAGAACCGAACCAACCCAACCCAAACCAAATGGAGCCCACAAATCCCACAAACATATAGGGTTTGGGGGGTAAATGTACGCAGACCTTACCTCTACCCTGTTGTTTCTGTGAAGCCTCGGTCTGCAAAACTAATAAATAAATGAAGCAGCGAGAAAGCTACAAGGGAGTGTGTGTGCAAACAAGCAAACAGAGTGCATCAGGGCAAAAATAAGAAAAATAAGGGGTTTGTTTGTTAGCAGCTTAATGAGCTGGGACTCAGCTTATTCGGTCAGCTATAAATGATTGTTTGGTAGTGGCTTAATAATATAAAAAGTGGCTTCTTCCGTAAGTATGAAAAATTGGCTTAAAGGTGCTTTGTTTATTTATTTCTATGGAAGTATGAAAAAAACGGAAATCAAATATCTTACGGATATACAAGATGAGTACATGTACAAATCAAGCCTTAGCTTAAAGAGAAAGACAACATGAGAAATCAAAGAATCTACAGCATTTAAGAAGAGAATGGAAATAGTTTCCTAAAACATATAAAAAGAAGCTAAATAATTATCTATAAGTTTCACATGGAGACCAATGACAGGAACCGACCAACACAGAACAAAACAAATAACTTTGAACCTGAAGCCAACGGGATTAGCTCCATTGTCCGTCTTTATGCCAGCAGGCCTGTGTAAGCAACAGGAACTTGGATTTGAGGAGCCATTGAGGTCCCTCAAGTCGTTCCTATGCTTGCTCCATCAATCTTGTTAACTGGTCTTTCCAGTTTAGAATCTTTTCTTCGCCATTAACAACCTGTAAAACATAACAATCAAGCCACCAAAATGGTATGCAAATTTCAAAAGAAATGATGATGACAGTTAAGCAATAGGTTCTATCAGTTATCATTTTCTTTCTAGTTAATAATCAGCCAGTCTCGTTGATTGGTAGGACTGCAGATAAGATCATAAATTCATGATATAAGAATCCTAACATTGAACGGGGATGTAGGAAAATGTTCAAACACAAAAATACCATCTGTGTATTTGATTTCCATTTTCTTGTATCAGTTATGTGATTTCATCTCCCAACACCAAATGATGATTAATCAGAGGACTCGCACTCACTTTGAACTTGAATTCAAGCACAGACTTATAGTGGTTACTAAGAATCATTATCTCAGCAAAAGGTTGATCACTGGCAATTCCGATCAAGCCCACATGGAATCCGCCCCCTAGGAACCACATCGGAGGAGGCATTTCAGAGTTGACTCGGTGGCTGAGGCTAGTGGAGGGGTTCAAGCCCGTCTCCCGCAAGATTCGAACTTGAACTTGACAACCTATTGTGTATTTGAGCAAGGTCGCTTCCTTTGCCAATTGAGCTACACACCCGAGGAAGCCCCATGAAGATCAGGTTCATTGTCAGCCTTAGAACTACACGTACTATAGCTCAACAATGTGAAGACAAAAGAAGTGCTACAAGTAATATAGACCGATCATTTTGAGAAAACAAAAAAAAAGGTAGCTTTGACCAACCTCAAACACCAGTCCTCTTTCTGGCACTACATCAAGAGCTTCAATGCATACGAATGCAGCATCTTCCTTGCTAAGACTTCCATTTACTGTACAGCCCTGTTATTTCGAATATTAATTCAATCTCCGCGTAGAAAGTACTTCTTTTTCCTTTTTTGAGACTGAACATACAACAAGTACATACCTCTTCGAAACTGAAACCTAGTTTGGCCCCACGATCGTTCGTTAGCAACCCAGTTCTGATTATAGTGTACGGAATTCCTGAGGCAACTACCACCGCTTCGTCTTGCTCTGCTAGCTTTCTCGCGTTATTATTCATGATTGCTTGAACACCACTACTACCTCTATAAACAGACAACTGCAACATCGTCAAATCAACATATCCAATAGACATGGCCTATATGGGGGAGGATCCGCTATGATGCATAGGGTGGCAAAGGCCATTGCTTCGCTCCTCTGTCGTAGTGTAAAAAAAATTATCGTCGTAAAAGGTGCCACTGTATTATTTTGTTAAGTGCAACTATATATTTCTTGAAACTACAACAATAACACAAATTTTTATTGGTAGAGGTGGTTTGCATAGTCTTTTCTCCCCTTCGAGACATGGGTACAAATCCCAGCTAAAAGACACAAACACAAACCCTCACATAAAAAAAAACAAAGAACTAACAAGTTGACCAACAATGATTTTGTAAAAGAAATCAATAGCTTCGTTTTTTATAATCAAATGATGCCACCACTGGAAAAAAATTCTAGGTCCGCCTCTACCCATTTAGGCAATGTGCAAAATCCAGACTACAATGACAAGGAGATAAAGAGTACCAAAGATAATATAACCACATGTTGTACCCCCTTCAAGCTCTCAACTTTAGATAGAAAACCTTCCTGCAAAGAAACATGTACCGCATTCAACCTACATATATGCGTATATAAGTCGAGGACAAAAGAAAAATAATTGGATTCTAGAAAAAGCATACGTTGGGACAAATTATCGCACGAACGCCTCTAAGGGACTTCTTTAAAAATGAAGAATCCTTTGGATCTCCAGTCATTGACTTCAAGATAACCAAGATCAAATATTAGGAGAGGTGTTCAACCAAAAGCAAACAACATAAATGACATTTGAGAAAGTAAATCTGTTAACCTCAACATAAGTTCCAAACGATTCCATTGCCGCACGCTTGTCCTTCACTAGTGCTTTCACTCGGATCCGTTTGATTATTAAGGAAAGTATAACTGTCTGCAAAGGTTAAAACAATATAGATTTAGGGCCTATTTGGTTTGCGGGATTTGGTGGGATTTGGAATTGGATTCCATTCCAATCCCACATTTGGTTTAAAAGAAGGTTTGGAATTGAAATCCCGGGATTTCAATGAAATCCTACAAACATGGGATTTAGAAATCTCAATATGGTAATTGGCATTTCAACGGGATTTTGTAGGATTTTTGTTATAATAATGGTTTAAAATATGTTTAAGACACTTGTTTTGTAATTATTTATAGTTTGTTTTTATCGGTTATATATAAAGAATTGAATTCAATTACATAAGAAAGATACATTTAGCAGAAAAAGAGACCAGTGACATCACAAACCTGACCAATCTCATTGTCGCCATCAGTTACCAAAACTGCATCCCTAACTTCATCTTCTTCTGTGTTCCAAAAGCAAAGCCAATTGTTCAGTAAACAAATGAAAGAAACCAAGCAATACACACACACACGTAAGTATATATATATATATATATATATATATGCATACTGCATACATATTCAGCAGCTCAGTAGATTACCTGAAGGTTCATATTATGTATGTGTGTGTGTGTGTGTTCAGCAGCTCAGTAGATTACCTGAAGATTCATCAGCTTCCTCCAAAATGGATCCATCTTCTGTGTTAAGATCAGGTGCCCCATACCATTTCCTCAACTTGGGCCCCCCTACACCATGAAATACCGAGTTGATGCCAGAAAATTAAAACTGAAATGTAAACCGAGTTGATGCCAATTTCACGATTAGCCAAATCAATATAATCGTAATCCTACTGCAAACAATTCACTGGTGAAATGGAGACGAAATGCATGAATTATACCTTCGATATAGTCCAGAATCACGTCGAAGAAACCCGGTTTTCCCTTTCTGGATGAAGAGCATACGACGGAGCGCTTTTTGGCGTTGCAGATGGAAGAAAGAGAGGAATAGGGTTTCGAATTTGAAATAGAATTATCGATTGAATAATATAAGAGTGTGTATTGAGATATTGATGAAGGTAGAACTCCCGCCATTGATGAGAGAATTCAACCACCAGCTTCTTGTTATCGCTTCTTTCATCCATCCGTTTCCTGGATAGCCCGCGAAAGCTTGCCACTCAGTATTTACGATTCAGACCCGTGAATTACGACTACTTACAAAAACGACCCCTAACCCAATTTACCATCTAAAAGTGAAAAACATTTAATGGTTGTTTGTTTTACCTTTTAATAGTTTCATTAAAAGATAACCTTTGAATTTTAAGAGATGAATTTTGTTTGATAAAAAAACTGTCTCTTAATGGTTCTAAAACCCTTTAAATGAATTTTTATCATGTGTCTCTCTTAACCATTCAATGTCATAATTTCATCGTAAACAATTATATTACATTTTTCACTATATTATGAGAGCCTTATAATTCTTCTGACCACTTAAAACCATTTAGCAAACTACCAAACAGTCCCTAATATGGTGTCACGATTGGTCTTGTCAGTTACAAGTAAGTTAACAAATTCATAAACAGATAATTCTTCTCTTGTATCCTTAAATCATAGTAATTAAGGTAACAAACTCATAAACAGTACTCCATGTATAAAAAATGATTTTAAGAATTTTTATCAAATGTTTTATAATATAATATATATAATAGGTTATATTCATGTGTTACCAATAACTTTCATTATTAGGTGTCATGACCACAAAAGAAACGAAGATAAACTTTAAATAAATGCAAGTTCAAACATATGTTGAATTCAATTAATTCATGCTTTTTGCCGTTGCTTTCTTTTAATTACTACCTCTTGTAACTTTTCAACGCGTTCTTTTATATATTTTTAAACCGTTATATAATTTTTCTAAATATAATTAATTTTTCTAAATATAATTAATTTATCAGCTATTTTATCTACTAACAACTACATTATTAATTACCAATTACCTTTGCATTGTTATATAATTTATCAATTTAACAAAATAAATATTTGCTCTTACAAAACGTAAAGAAATATACAACCTCTCTCTCGATGTATCACCATATCATCAACAATGTACACCGACCAAACAAACAAAATAAACATACAGTCAAAGACCTTCCAGCCTAGTGGTAAAGGCTTAGGCATGGCATAGTCATGAACTCGAGTTCGAGCCCTGGAAGGGGAGTGTTGGCGACATTTAAGTGGAGCCATGTTTAGCCTCCAAAATTGTCGGGCTTTGACCCGGACACCCTATCAAAATAAAATAAAAATAAACATACAATTTGATTAGTCATTTTAAAACATACAAAACCTATGACCAACACATAAATAGATGCATACAAAAGTTGTTTCCTCTTTACCGTTTAAGTGATATAGTTTTTTTTTTTACTTTAAAATCGATTTATCAATATAGCTAGATATCAGTTGTCAAAATAACGTATTTAATCCAACCCTTGATAACTTCGAGGATACGCGGTAGACATGTTTTTCTCAATAATCTTCAAACTTGTTTCTTATGTAATGGGAGGAGGTACCAACTGATGTCTTTGAAGAGACTCAGAAGGACGTTTGAGATATGAAGGGGTGCTTTGGGTTTGATTTGAGATGGGTTCATGCCAGGCTAGGTGCAGTGGCCAAGGCAAGATTTGATACCTGTCATCTCGAGGAGTACGTCCAAACTTTAACAGCGTTCGAGAAAGCTTTTAGAAAGTTTAGGAATTTATTTATTTTTAAAAAAGTTCAAGAAATTAATCGCTCAAAATCGATGTTTTTTTTAGCTTTTCTATAGAAAATTTCTCTTATTACTTTTAAATTTGATTTATCAATATAGTTGATTTAAACAACATCTTTAATCGATTTTATAAAATTTAAAGATCTATATGTTTAATAAAAGTTTGAGTAGACTATGTTTATTTGGTTCATACGAATTGTTAAAATTTACTATTTTTTGAAACTGTGATTTTCGTTTATATGGTTTGTAAATCGTTGTTATTTTCGTTCATTTGGTTTACAATTATTTACTGTCTTGGTCTTTTTGGTTTACAATTATTTATTATTTCGATCCTTTATAAAAATTAATTTATGAAAAAAATAACAATAAATTGCAATTGATTCTAACCCATAAGAAATAAAATGGAATTTACATGAACAAAAAATAATGATTTACCTTTAATGGAAAGGAAGGGCAATTATGTAAATTGTCAAGTCAATTGACGACACGGGTACACAGTAGCCGGCATTAGCTACTCTCCGACTCAAGAAAGCTATCCGGACGCCAACCCCACATTCGCCAACTCGCTTTATATTTCCCTTTGGATTCCGAAACTGTATTTCATTGATAAACACAGCGTACTGGAAAAGCGGGACTGAACTTGAATTCCAACCAAAATTATTCAATCCCTTTCCTCTTTCTTCACCCTAATTTTTGTATCTCCGGCATCTTAATCGACACTTTGGTGGAATAACCGGTTACAGCCTTCAAATCGATCGGTATTCGTGCATTTTTATGGTGAATTTGTGACGATCAAAACAGGTAATTCTGGTGATTGAATTGATTGGGATTTTATGCTGAGGATGGGGAAGTAATCGTGTAATGTAATCTCTCAAGTGTGGAGAGGTTTAATTTGATTGATTTGTCCGTGTTATTTTCAGTTTTTGTATCTGAGTTGCATGTGGAGGAATGTTACATGGAAACTGTGGTAGCAGTTGAAGAAAGCGAGAAAACTAGGTTAGAGGGTACTTCTGCAATTGTGATAACTTGCTCCGACTCCTCAAAGCAGATTGCTGATCCCGTTGTTTACAAGCTTGCTCGGGTAATTTGCAATTCAATATGTTAGGGTTATGTATTTGCAACATAAATTGAATTTTTGGATTAGAATATTTTGTTGTATGATATTATGAAATGTCATATTGGATTATGAAGAAATCCCTTTCATGTTCTTTTTGCTGCTAGAATTACCCAGCGTGGCCGGGGATTAAATTACAAACCCAACACTTGAAGATAGATCTATCGAACGATTGGCTTATAGCAACAATGTTATAATGCAAGCCTGCTTTTTTTAGCTATTTATTAGTTTTTGTAGGTATATATTTTTGTTAAATGAACTTCTAATGTTGAGTTGAAAAAATTCTGTTCTCCAGAGCTTGCCTATTTCCTGTTGAGAAGTTCCATTATAATTTGTTTGCTGTTAGTCTTGTTTAAGACAGATGAAAATTAAGAAATAAATAGTGCAATTGACCTTGCTGCAATGCCCACTCATCTGTCTAATAAGTTGCATAAAATGCATGTTAGGTAGTATATAATATGTTTGGGTTTCAGTTTATGCTCAAAGATCTAATTTGGACTAAAAAAACTTAAGATTTGAATGTGAAATTTTGGATTCATTTAATGTACAAAGAGCTTCTGCCAAGGGTTAGTTTTTCATTTAAATGGAGTCACATTTCAATAAGTATCTCATTTGTTGCTAGAAGTTTTGGTGGACTTGGCAGTTTGATCCTATAAGGGCATACTGAGTTAGTGAGATATTGAAGTTACTTCTAATTGTATAACATACTGATGGTACATCTCGTACATGGAATTAATTGTCCTCTAACGGATGTGAGTTCTTTGGGGTATGATGGCTCATCTTAGTATGTAGGAAGGACAAATTCGCTTGAATGCGTTCTCGTTTAGAATTTGAGAACAATTAACTGTCGATGTCATAGATTGCTGATGATGTCTTTATAATCAGATCATGAGGATGTTAAACATATGACGAAGAATTACAAGGTGTAGACAGTGTTTCGAATTGTCTTCCCTACCTGTCCCAAAATGATGTTATATGGCAGGACATAGGAAAAAAATGATCTTTGCTGTTGGAAGGGTTAGACTGATAGATTTGACCTGTATATATGCATCTCACATAGGGTCTTTGCATATTTTTTAGCTGTTTCATGTAACAACGACATTTGGGTGAATTTTGGGGTTCAGACTGAATGATTTCTTACATCTCTAGTCTTGCTTTAGTTGATTTTCTTAGGGCTCCTCATCCTTGGTTCTTCCGTGCAAGGGTTCCCCATGTGACATTCCATGCTATCTTGAATGTTTGTTTTCCTTTTGTATGCGATTGTCATTGCAAAATACGTGAAATTTATAGTTGTATAGAAACATGGAGAAGATGTTGAACATAAACATACAAAGAAACAGGTAGCCAAGTCTATAGCATGTGATAAACTTTTTGTTCCGGATAAAAAAGCATGGTAAGACACACACACACACTTGAAAATTGAGAGAACTGGATTCTAATATGTGGAGAAGATTCAATGTTATTGACAAAAGATCAGGATTTTAGGAAAAGATCAAAGAAATATAACTTGTTAAGCAGGGAAGATACAAGAACCCTGAAGTGAGTATTGAACAACCATGAGGTAACTAATGCTAGTATGTGTTTTGGTAGAAGCAGAACTAATATATCTGTGTACAAGCTCTGACCAAGATGCTACTACAGCAGAGGCTGGCTCTAAAGCAGATGACTTGTTATTATCTGATAAAGGCTTAACACTGGCCAAAGGATGCAAGTTATTTTCTTGAAAGAGGGCATGATAGGTAGAGATGCTAGAACTCATTGGAGACCTCTCTATCTATAGGTGCATGTACCTCCATATAGGTTATATACGTCTTAAACAACCTTTAACTTCCATTTTCACTGTATTTCCATCTCATAACAAATTCTTGACCTCCAATGCAAACCCTTACAAGTGTTGTTTGGAGTTTCGAATCATATGGGTGAAAGTTCATTTGCTTATTTTTTTCATGTAACCATACCGGCAGAAGGAAAACTAGGTTAGTTTTATATTAAAATACATCAGACATTAAAGTTCTTATGATAAGAGGTAGCAATAAAAAAGGGAGACCAACTGTTAAGTGTGGGAAAGGGAGGTATTCTGATTGCACAGAGTTAGATAGAGACTAAGACTACTCATTGCAACAATGTGATTGACAACATTTGCCACACTCTGATTAACAATGTTGCATCTGTTGAATGCATTGTATACATGCATGTATGCTCAAGACATCAAGTGAGGTACCATTTGACAAAGCATTTAGCTTCTCTTCTCTGATTTGGCATGTAGGGTAACCTTTCATAAAAAAAGCAGTAAAATATGTATAGGTGGACTATGAGTTTGCTGGAAGAGCTATTAGCGTTAGACTTGGTTGCTTAGAATAAATTCTCTGCTGTTGCGCTCACTGTTAATGGCAACAGTGTGCAGTACCCTCATTAATAATATAACAAAATGAACCCAGTATATCCCACTCGAAATTAGGGACTAGCAATGGTGTATTCGGTTGAACCCCTTGTATAAATGCATGTATGCTCAAGACATTAAGTGAGGTAACATTTGCTAAAGCATTTGGCTTCTTTACTCTGATGCATGCAGAGTAAACTTGACACAGAGAAAGCAGTACTATATATATAGGTGGACTATAATTTTGCTTGAAGGGCTATTAGCTTTACGCTCGGTTACGTAGAATAAATTACCTGCTGTTGTCTGCTTTGATATGTTACAGGCTAGTAGCATCATCATCAATCATCATTGTTATCACCCTCATTGGTGAAGCACATATAGAATATCATTCCGAGGCTTAATTGTTGGTGTCATCACTTACGCATAACATAGCTTAGCTGATTTCTGCTCCAAAATATTGTCCATTGTATATCTTTTAATCAAAGTTAATATCAGTGGTGGTCAATTTGATTTGTTTTCTACTTTTCAGGTCGAAGGCGATGGGAGATTAGTACCTGCAACTGATGATGAAGTGATGGAGGTCGAAGACTTGCTTGATGATAAGAATTCAGTGCATTTTGTTCTGGACACTGGGCAGACTGCAGTCTGCACTTCAAATGAAGACACTTTTGCTCAGGAATTCATGCCCATCGACTGTGAAGGTCTCTCTAATTGATTCTTTTCCATTATTTTTTTTTCTCATTCCTTCCTCAATTGTCATAATATGCTGGTGATGTTTCTTAGTCGTCTTTGTTTGGACATGCTTTTGCTACTGTTAAGCTCTGTTATGAGTCCTAAGTGTTATGTCATTTTTTACATGTAAGAAATGCTGTATAATGCCCTTTCAACTTCTATTGTTTAGTTGAGCATGCTACTGATATGGTGTTCAACTGTCCATCAAGCAATTTGTTCACCTTTTGTGTTCTAGGCTCTCATTTGCTTTTAAGTCTAAAAATGCTAGTCTGGATAGCTCTACCTACCTATATGCTTGCACACATACACACGTAGAGGCTTCCACTTGCCTTGTTCTATCTTCCTGCTTGTAGCTCATCTGAATGAAAAAATATCACAGGTATCTTAAAATTTGAGGATCCTTCTACTCAAGGAGGAAGATCAGATGGACTAGTTGACACAACAGTTGATCTCGGGAAATTGAATTCCCAATATGAGGTACTGTTCTGCTGAACATCATGCAATGCTTGTTTTCTCTCTAGTTGCAACTGACTGCCGGAATCCCAGTGCGTTTACAAATTACCGACCATTCTTCATTTTAGTTGACTTCTGTGGTTTGTCATTTCTAATTATTTTCGAGTTCTTTACTAATTTTTTTTTTCCGATTCTTTGTTATTTTCAATCACCAATTTTGAGTGCTTATGTTGTTTGAGCATGGTCAGTTTAGATTGTAGTGTGCGTTCTGGAGTGCATATTTATTCTGCATATATATTGAACTGCAGGAAATTGCTCCCTCAAGATCTACTCCTGTTGGTGAGCAGATTGACCAATCTGGGGATAGGAAGCAAGCAGAACTTCCACTAGGATCAGCTGAAAGTGAACCATCAACATCTACCATGTGTGCTAGTTGGAAGCCTGATTTTTCTAAGCTGAAGGGGGAGATATGCCTGGACAATCTTTCAGTTAGAGAACTTCATGCAACTTTTAAGGCTACATTTGGTAGGGAAACTTCTGTGAAGGACAAACAGTGGCTTAAGAGAAGGATTTCCATGGGATTGTCTAATTCATGTGATGTTTCAACTACCACCTTTATAATTGAAAATGACAAAGTAAAGAAGAAAGGCAAAGTAGAAGACTGTAATAATAAGGATGAGGACTATGAAGAGGATCATTTTGCTGGATCTGGAGGAAGAAATGTTAGTGGTGATGATATATCAGTTTCTCACACTATCCAAATGGATGATCATTTCAGTGGTAGCAGCAAGAGCGTGCAAAGTGCTACGTCCAAGCTTCATATTGCTAGTGAAGATGATCACCAAGGAGCTAAAAGAGTTCGGAAGCCCACAAAGCGCTATATTGAAGAAGTTTCAGAATTGGACTGCCGGGAATATAGTGGAAGGCTGGTTTCTTCCGTCAAAAGCTCTGGACATGGACCACGAACTCGTGTCAGGCCCATTCATAATATCCAGCCAGTTAGGAGACCTCTTGTCACTCGTCATGATTCTCTTGGAGGTTCTGGGGTTCAAATTCCATATGTTTCTAGGATCCGAAGAGGCCGCCCAAGAGAAAATTTTATGGCTCTAATGGTAATGTTCAACGAGTAGTACAAAAATGTGCATGATGCCATAGTGAAGTCCTCTAGTTTATTAAGTATGATGAGTTAACTTATTCTCTACGCAGGCTTAAAGTTGATTTTGTTTACATGCTTCATTTGTTCTTTTGTTTCAGACATATGTGGGGGTTGGGTTCCAATGGGAATGAAAGTCACGCTGAGAAGGGTAAGAAGGGATCTCCACCCTGGGATCAATCCTAATTGAAGAGAGCCACTAGATCAACACTAATGAGATACACTAGATCAATTCCCTTCTAAAGTGCAATTCATGGGTTGTTTTGGGATTAAAAGTGATCAAGGGTCCAAATCCCTTCTTACACTTCTCATGTTGACTCCTATTCTCACACCATCCTTCGTCTATATGTGGAAATTTATTAACTATGTAGCTGCTTGTCCTTTTTGTGGTTTGCTTATTTGGGTTTTTTGCTTCTTCAAAAGGCTCGTCTTTGTTATGTTGGCATGTTTATGTATGCAATTTAATGATTTCGATACATCCAGGTTTGCTGCATGTCTTCTTCATTAGAATAGTAAGATCTTCTTGGGGATTTTTTTGGATATTCATACAGTGAGAATATGCTATTTGGTCATCCTGCTTCCACACATAGTACTAAATGAATGAATTATACCATGATGGAAATTTACAGAATTTAGAGTGTATGTATGGTTGACTTATAACTGTGGATGCAAATGATCACCATAAGTTTATTAGGGGTGCATTTCAATTTCTGTGTCTTCTGTTTCTTTGTTTGTATATCCTCAGATTCTATATCCAACTTCTTGCTAAGCTCTATTCACCTGTGAGTTTTGATTTTCAGTTCTTCACTGCTTATTATAGCATTCTGCATGGAATGTGCAATCAATTCCTTTTTAGATCATGTTTTTTCCTTTTTTTTTTGGTAATTAATATCCTGTACAAAGTCATCAGTATAACCACTATTTTAACGGATGCAAAAGTTCTGTCAAAGTAGTATGCTACTTACAGAAGTGGCAGTAACTACCTTGGCATTGCTGTTCACTATCAAAATGTCTCACATAAAGTCTTTATCTTTCTGTACTGAAATAGTAAATATAATAGACGTTATGAGAGACAATGTGCTAGTATGTATGAACCAATTACAGTGACATGAGATGTACATGCTAACTGTTGATTTACATCATAGCTATAGACTCTAACTGCTTTTTAAGAATTAAATCATGTTATTTATGTTGGTGGGTATATGTGGAGTATGGTACTGCTTTTCTGTTGGTTATTTGGTTACTCACTTGTTGTAGACTTCAATTGTAGAAATTTCAGTCTTGTGGAATGGGAATGGCTGCAAGACTGGTAAAGAAGGCCCATGATGGACATGATCCTCAGTCAGATAACGAAATAGAGAATCAAGAACTCAAAGCTAGACCGGTCACAGGATGGATTCAACAGCCTGTAAGCATTTATATAGTTATATTTATAGTTTTATTCTTGTTTTGCTTCATTAACTTGCTATTAGTTGGCATCTGATTATTAACTGCTTGATCTGTGGAAAAGGTCACAAAGCAAGGGAACCTATAGTTTAGCTCTGATACATTGTCCTGCTTTGCTCTTCTCCCTTGTAAATTTTCAGTTTGTTTCTTTGAGGTTCCGTTCTTGCTTTCAAAATATATTTATATCATATATCCATCTTGACGTTGGGCAATACTCTTCGCGCCGCCAGATAATTTTATGTTACTTCTCAAAATCTATAGAGCATCATATCGGTTGTCGGAAGATCTCTAGAGTTAGCTTGTGAAGTAGAATGTGTATTATTTGCTCTTTTATGATCAGAACTTGGATAATACTGGCACTGTCATGGATCAATATTTTGTTCCTGTTATTATGTCCACCATACAGTAGCTGATTAGTTGCTATGTAATTTGTTACAGAGATTCATGGGAGTAGTAGATGTGTAGAATAAATGGAAGTATGATAAATATCTGTTTTGAGGTGAATAAAATGCTTTCTATACAAGTTTCAAAGAAAGCGAGAAAATTCTAGGGTCCTGTTTGGTTTGTAGGATAGGATAGGATTTGGAGGGGTTTGGAATTCAATTCCATTCCAATCCCATGTTTGGTTTGAAGGATTGCTTGGATTTGAAATCCTGGGATTTTATTGAAATCTCACAAACATGGATTTAGAAATCCCATCTGGTTTGTTGGTATTTCATGGGATTTTGTAGGATTTGTTTGTAATAGTGTTTTAAAATATGTTGAAAACATATTTTTATAAGAATCAATTAAAAAAAGGTAATTTAATTCTTTATAATTTGTTCTTATAAAAATAGGAATTCAATTCCATCCCAAATCCTCCAAACCGAACACACAAAAGATTCCAAATCCTTCCAAATCCAAATCCCTCCAATTCCAAATCCTTCCACGAAATCCAAATCCCTCAAAACCATTCCATCAAACCATACAACCCCTAGGACTGTTTGGTTGATTTTCTATTATGTCCTATATGGCTATATGGATAAAGCCGTCTGCGTGGATTAATCTGTCTGTATGGATCGAGAAGGTTTTTGTTCGGGAGGGCATTGTCATAGAAGGATGGAATGAGTTTTTTAATTGGGAGGGGCAGGTTTGGAAAAAACTTGGTTTAAGCAAACTGAATAAGTCACTCTCTATTATCATTAACCTACTACCAAAAAGTCATGTATAGCTGACCGCATAAGCCGTGAGTTCTGTTAAGCTCATTAAGCTGCTAACAAATAAGCTCTAAGTAGGTTGTAGGCATGGTTCTAATACATCGTGTAGATTCTCCATGATGACGGCTTGTGGTTTTTATGATAAATAACATTTGATGTAAAGATCATGACTTTAAGTATTCCGTTGAATGTTATTTTAATCTAAATCTTAAATCTATATAGCTAATCGAGGAACCAGGAGAAAATCAACAGTACTCGGAACAATCTGCGGACTTGAACGATGATGTGGATGAGGGACACATGGATTCATATGCTGACGATTCAGATGATAACATATTAACTGTACCTACAGCAAAAGGTGGGATGAGAAGGAAGCATCATCGGCCATGGACTCTTAGTGAAGTTGTGAAGTTGGTTGAAGGTGTTTCTAGGTATGGTGCTGGCAGGTGGTCCGAGATAAAAAGGATTTCCTTTGCAACATGCTCACATCGTACAGCCGTTGATCTCAAGGTATGCTATTCTCGTAGGGTGCATTTCTCATCCAGACAGGATAGGACATTGTTAGATAAGACAGAATTGGATAGGACAGAACAAATAAAATGACTAATTTACCCCTAATGAATTGTTTATATATTATAATTTATGTAATTTATTAAATTTCAAAAAAATAAACATTTTTTATAACAAAATATATCATTAGAAAGTTTTCGACATGACGATCAAAATGACACCGAAATAAAGAAGTTTTGTGCAGTTCCCAATTTTTATTTTATGCTTCTGTTTTATTTTATTATTATTAATATTTGATAAGTTACATAAATTAATCAAAATATAGAAACCGTATAAAAACAATATTTTGAGGACGGTAAAGTGAGTTTAAAGAGCATAAAATACAATAAACAAAATTTAAAGTGAATGAAATAAAGAGGGAGGCGTATTTGATGTCTTAGGAAATAATTAGGTTTTATTTTGTGGTTATATTGGTGAAATATAGGTCTGTTTCACCTTGTTCCATGGGGTGGGGTGGAACACTTTGTTCACATAAAAGTCCTGCCAAACGTGGAACAACGATCCCTATTCTGTTCTGTTCTGTCCAATGTACAAAACGCACCCATTATGTTTCTTGTCCATTCAGATGCACAAGTCAACCTTGTGTTTGCACTTTGTTAGCTGACGGTTGGCGTTTGCAGGACAAATGGAGGAATCTGCTGAGAGCTAGTTTTGCGCAGTTGCCAGCCGAAAAAGGGGTAAGTAATTGGGATGCCTCTCATATGTGTTGGGTTTAATGTTACTTTTGCTTCCTTCTTTATTCTCTCCATACACCCTTTGCAGTTTAGGGGAGTAGTTTCCATTCTCGCATCTCCTTTTACAAATCAGAATATGTTTATCTTAGGGGACGTTTACCCGGTAAGCGTAAAAGTCAACACTCTTTGGGTCCGTTTGGTTTGCAGGAATGAAATGAAATTGGGGGGATTTGGATTTTAAATTCATTCCAATCTGGTGTTTGGTATGCAAGATTGTTTGTATTTGAAATCCTAGGATTCTATTGAAATCCCTCGAACATAGTATTCTATTGAAATCCCTCGGGGTTGTTGGAAGGGATTTCACGGGATTTCATAGGATTTGGATATAATAATGTTTTAAAATATGTTAAAAACATTTATTTTCTAACAATTCATTGATAAAATGGTAACTTGATTATTTTTATAATTATATATAATTTGTTTTTATAAATTATTTATAAAAAATGGATTCCATTTCATTCCAAATCCATCAAACCAAACACACTACAGATTCCAAATCCTTCCGAATCCAAATCCCTCCAAATCCTTATACGAAATCCATATCCTTCAAAGGCATTACGTCAAACCAAACGCCCCCCTTACCTTATCGCGTAAGATTTTAATCCATCAAAACGGCATCATATGCAATAATTTATCCGGTAAGCACTAACCGGGTAAGATTATCGTTCCTTGGCATGTTCGTCCGGTAAGGTAAAGGGACACGGTAAGCGCTTATCGGGTAAGCGTTTAGTAAATGGTTCCTTAGGGTGCATTTGGTACGCATGACAAGACATGACAGAACAAAAACTTCTTGTCTTACATTTGGTGCAACATTTTGAATGTGACAGGAAGGACCATAGTGGGACTAAAATGCATTTGTCCCACCAAAATAGAAGAGCAAAAATGAGGAAGGTGGAACAAGATTGGTAAATAGCTAAACCACCATGTTGAATTGAAACCCTAAAACCTTGCACATTTCTTTCACCCGCCTACCTGGCACTTACCTGTTCAGTTTCCATTAAGTCATGCACTGATAAAGTTGTCTGTGTGGATTAATCTGTTTGTATAGATTGAGAAGATTTTTTATTGGGGTGGGTTTTTCATAAATGGAAGGAGCGTGCTGCTTTAATTAGGAGGGGCATGTTTGAATTTTTTTTGGCTTTCTGCATAAAGCTCCCTTTAGAAGTTTACTGAATAAGCCACTTTATATATCATTAAGCCACTACCCAACAGTCATGTATAGCTGATTGAATAAACTTTGAATCTCATTTAGATCATTAAGCTGCTAACAAACAGACCTTATTCTCTTATGTCATCTGTGTTGCACTCCTGTTGCTGCTCATGTATGTCTTTAAATTCCAAAGAAAATTTTATGTTATGGGCTTGTTTTTTTTTTTTTTGAAATGGTTGAAATACAGCAACCCTGGGATGAGTCCGGGTATGAATTTGAGTATTTGTTTGTATGGGTTGTTGAAGCAGGTGGGAAATTCGAAGAAGCAGTCATCGTCAATCCCGATCCCAGCACCAATTCTGTTAAGAGTGAGAGAGCTTGCGGAGATGCAATCGCAAGTGAGCCCGGATCTGAAATCAGTGAAATATAACAACAATAATAATAATAGTGGTAGTACTAGAAATAATAATGTAAATGATATAAGGTCAGGATTTCTGTAAATTGCTGAATGAAATTAGGATGAGGAGGAGGAATAAGAATGTCTGATTGTTTGTTTGTTTGTAGTAATTTGTAATTCATGATGGTTTTGCATCACCTTTTCACATTTTTAGAGCTTTCAGCAACGAAAAAAAAAGCCCAAGCTGGGCTTTGGGTGCTGAAAGAGACCCCAGTCGGGCTTCATAAGTTTTCCCATGTTCGAGTTTAAGCGGGCCTCGAAAAATCGTTGCCTTATCGGGTTTTAAGGTCGGTACTTTTCAGGACTAGTTTCAAGCTTCTGCTTATTTGGGCATTTCTAGTTCAAATGTTAGTAGTTGGGTTAACACATGGGATTTAGTGTGGGAAAGAACTTTTAGAATTTTCGGTACAACTACAACTATGTCTCCTGTCTCCACTCGAGTCGAGGGTAGATGAAGGGTGATTAAGTTTTGTATAGATAAAGTTGTATGTATAGATTAATACATTCAGAATGTTTTTGTTTAGGAGGGTCTTTTTATAAATATGAGGATGTTTTAAAAAAAACTTGGTCTTTATTGAATAAGCCACTTTCTATATTATCAAGTCATTACTAGATAATCAAGTATAATTGATCAAATAAGTTGTGACTACCAAGAAACAAGCTGTTATTAATCGGCAATTAGAGTTTTCAGTTCTTGTGTTTTGTCCATTTTCACAATTTTCATCCTTACCGTTTGTTTAATCCAATTTTCTTATCATGGTTTGGCATTTAGTTCGGTTTTTCACCCTCTCATTAACTGGTTTTAACTCTAACCCGTTTATGTGAGATGCATTATTTTATTTACATTTTCTTCTATTTTTTATTTAAAAATTATGCTAATGCTAATGATAATAGTTATTGTGTAGTGTAGGATAAATAAAATCAAATTCTTGGTTTTAGGCTATCCCACCTTAAACTTCATCTATCCTTTTCGACCATATCACCAAATTTATTTAATGATCATGAGCTCGATTCTCTACCAATATTAGTCCAAGTCAGATGTCGTGTTTACGTATGCTATGTCTATAGACCACATATCAGTAAGAGCGTTTTTTTGACGAATAATTCTTGACCATTTAAACAAGTAAAGCTGAAAATAAACAGGTTATCAAGAGTTTTCATTCCACCGACAAAATTGTCCTTCCAATAAACGTACAGTTCGGAGTTCGTATACGTATAGCTTTTTTGTTGATGTTAATTGCAGCAATCAGCTGCCCAAATACACCATACCCAATCTCTTGTCGTTTATTTATAGAGTATATAACATATATATATATATATATATTATTGTTTTTTAATTGTTTAAATTGGTTTTCTTACTTCCTACATTTCAATAAAATGCAATATTTTGTTTAACACGTACTTTAATAAGAATTTTAATTGTTAAAATAAATGATTAAAAGGCTCTTTAATAAAATAAAAATAATGAATTTTATTTTCAATAAATGTATCTTTTTCTAGACTTGTATTTTAAATAATATGGTATTTTTGTTAAATTTGTTTGATTAAAAAAGTTATATATGCATGTTTAGGGACCCAGCATAAAATTGGGTTATTTTTCCTGCTAATAATGCACGTCCAAAATAGAGCTTTCTTCAAATAAATATATAATTTTTATTTGATTTAATTTTCTACAATTTATTATTATATTATATTATATAAAATTATTTATCGAACAACAGTTTTATTATAAATTCATTTGACGGCATTCTATCCTGCATTTCCTATTCTACCAAGCCAACCGGCAACCACACTCCGACCACCAAATTTGTGTTTTCTCCGGCGACATTCCCATAACAAAATGACCGCCGAGGATTTCTCAACCTCAGTTGACATGGGACTCCGGCTATCGAAACGCATATACTACGGAAAAGACGAGCGGAATTCCATGTCGGCTCCGAAGCCGGTACTAATGACAAAATCGTCGTCATTGCGTTCGTCCACCTCGTCCTCCCGCTTGCCGCCAGATCAGCATCATGCAACGGCCCCGATGGTTTACGCGGTGATTACTGAGCCTGATGTCGTTGATAATCCGGATATTCGGAGCTACCAGCCGCACGTTTTCGGACGTTGCAATCCGCCAGCGTTAATCCCGCTTCATATGCATGGGATTACGATGAACGTTGATTGTTATTTGGGCACTGCATTCGTTACCGTTAGCGGCAGTTGGCGCATGCACTGCGTAACCGCAAGCGCATGCTGCGATTGCCGTATCGCGATTCCAATGGGCGAGCAGGTAGTAGCATAGATGGTGCCATGCAATTAATGCCGTCCACTGCAATAAAATCAGTTTTATAAGACGACAAATTGATATATTTACATGTTCTAAATATACTACCTTACAAGAATTAAATTTATAGAAACCAAATAATTATGCATGCCGTATAAAATTTTTACAATAAGTTTTTTTATGTCACTTTTGAAATAACACAATCATATTAAATTTTTTTTAAATATCCTCTTAGCAATCTTTTTATAGGATACTTGTTTTTATAAGATAAAGATATTGCTTCAAATAATATCGTATAAAAAAAACAATATAAAGCTTGTGGAAGGTTCGTTTAGAAACCTTAGGTATTTTAGAAGCACAAGATTACCCTCTTCTTCTTCTTTTTATTATCACGAAGACTCGTAAAACAGTTGACTCCTGAGTTTTTAAAATATTTAAGGGTCCTAGATGAACGGTATACACATATACATAAAATAATTTGTAAACAATTTATCGAATATGCACATGTATATGCAAGTAATTTGAAGCAATTTATATATCCATCGAGATAAATGGTTAGTGATGTATTTGTTAGTTTTTCATTGGTTATACTCATAACTCAGTGAAGGCATGCATATAAAATCAGTTTATTTAGGCATGTGAGACGTGCTATAAATAAGATTTTGGTAGTGCGTTCCCTGATGAAGTACTCAAAATTAAGAAACATGGTTTGGCAAACAGGGTTCCATTCTGGAGGTGGAGGCTGAAACCACCAAAAGATCGTATTTCACCAAGTTCATTTCTCCAGGAGACGATCAAAAAGATTCAGATCGAGTAACGAAAGCAAAAGATGGATTCATGATGAAACGCAACACATACACACTCAAAATTCCACAGGTTCCATCCATCCATCCATCTTCAATCATTCCATCTTAACTTGTATAATTAGGTCTACTTAATTACTCATCCATGATCATCGGATTCATTCTCCAAGGTTGAAGGAGGATCCCTTATTCATGTTAAAGTTAGATGGTCTCAGAAATTACAATATCAAAATGATGAATTCTGCCTCAATGTGCCGTTCACTTTCCCCCGTTATGTTTTACCTTTCGAGAAGAAGATTCCTGTGACAGAAAAGGTGCTGGTAAATGTCGATTCTGCTACTGGAACTGTGATTACATGTACGATTGCTAGTCATCCTTTAAAGGTACATTTGTCGATTTACAAAAAGTAAAGATAAAAACTCAGTGTTATTGATTCTGCTTTTGGCTTATCAATTAAGACTTTACTTAAGCACCTACTGAAACTCTTATTTTTACGTTTTGAAAGGAGGTAAGAAGACAGGGTGGGGAAGTAAGCTTCTCATATGAGGCAGAAGTTCTGAAATGGTCCACTCAAGACTTGTATTTTGCTTATTCTGTAAGATCTTTGTCAATTTATTGTTTCATATATAGTTAACCATATGTATACACAGAGAGAGTTCAAACCCTACCTATTTAACAGAATAAGGAAACGGTCAAATCACATTCCTATTTAAGAGAACAAGAAAACGGTAAAATCACATGTGATTTTACACTAACATCACGTATAAAATCACATGTGATTCACGCGACTTTTGCCCCGCGATCTGAAGACGTGGCCAAAGTCGCCGACACGCCTTTTTTTGGCCGCTAATGTAATATCACATGTGATTTTGCACGTGATTTGGTCGTTATCGTATCCTCTTTAATAGTTAGCATTCTCTTTTGATCCTCTCTCTCTATATACGGAGGTTAAAACAAGAACACCTCTAATTTAAGTAAACTTTAGAATACCCTTATCACATGTGAAAATACATGCGAGGGGATATGATGGTGTGTGGACGATTTGACCCCTCGACCTAGGTTGCACCAAAGGTCATCCACGTCTCCGATCTAGTATCACATGTGATGGATTGTAATATGTGATAACACACGTGAGATGCCTAGTGGTGTGCGGGTCACTTGGCCCGCAATTTACATCGTGTCGTATCTGATTTAATATCACATGTGAATGATTATAGTAAAAGTGTGTTCCCGTGTTCTCATTAAATGAAGGTGTTCTCATTTGAACCCTACCATATATATATGTATATGTGTGTGTATAGTAATTCTAATGGGTTCACTTGCATCATGTGAGGTATGCTCGAATGAGATTTTCGGAGGTCTGCTTCTGCAGTCTCCATCTCTACAAGATCGTGATCAGAGAGAGATGTTTTGCTTCTATCTTTTTCCTGGGACTAACAATGTTACAAAGGTTTGTGGCAAATTCTAAGGCATCATTATTCGTTACACTTTATAAGACATCAAATATGTGTAAGTGTCTACAAGATTGTGATCAGAGAAATACGCATTTAGACATCCTAACAAGTTTTCTAGGACATGTTTCTAAAATCAGGTGTCCTATTAGTTTTTCTATAATATGCTTTGACAAGTATCCTATGAACATAGTTTTTTGTTTTTACAAGACACTTTGTCAAATAATATCATATAAAAACACTAATAGAAAGTTTTATCATAAAAATATCCTCAAAACTTGTTAGGAAGCCCAAAAGACAAAAGAGTCCTTTTAACTTTTTATGACACATTTAAAAAGGACGCATTATTGTTTGGTCCTATAAGTTATGAAAAACAATCTATTAATACGTTTAGACATACTTGACATCCTATATCTGCGATTGATATAATATATATATATATATATATATCTGTTTTGAAATTCCAATAGGTTTTCAGAAAGGAAGTGGTGTTTTTACTGGACATAAGTGGGAGCATGAGAGACGTCCCTCTTGAGAAATCAAAATATGCAATTGAAGCATCCCTCTCAAGGCTTAATGAAGGAGATTCATTTAACATCATAGCATTTAACGAAGGCATTCAATCATTCTCATCTTCATTGGAGTTGGCAACAGAGGAAGCAATCACAAATGCAACTGAATGGATGTGGAAAAAATTGTATGCTGGTGGAGGTACAAACTTAATTTGCCCATTGAAGCAGGTAACATATTTTTTTCCAATAAAATTTAAGTCATATAAAACATTCTATTAGGGTACGTTTGGTACAAGGGATATGACAAAACTTAGCAGAACAAGGTCACTGTTTCATGTTTGACATGACTTTTATGTGGAACAGCAAGAACAAAGTGGAACAGGTGTGTTCCACCCCCAGCCCATGAAACAAGGTGGAACAAACCTATATTTTACCAATATAACCTTAAAATCGAATCTAATTCTCTTCTAAAACATTAAATACGTCTCCCTGTTTACATTTTATTTATTATTTAAATATTTTTATTGTATTTTATGTTATTTAAACTTTCATTTTACTGCCCTCAAAATATTATTTTTATATGGTTTTTATATTTTGATTAATTTATGTAATTTAATAATAATAAAAATAATATAGAAGAAGTATAAAATAGAATTTGGTAATTATATAATTTTTTTATTTTGGTGTCATTTTAATCGTCTTGACGACAACTTTTTTAATGATATATTTTGTTATAAAAATATTTATTTTATTATAATTTAATAAATTATATAAATTAATCAAAATAAATAAACAACTCATTAGAGTAAATTGGTAATTTTATCTGTTTTGTTCTGTCAACTTTTTTGTCCTATCCTATCATATATGGATGCCATACGCACCTTTAGGACATTTGAACATATTTGACGTCCTATACAATCGATTTTGTTGTATTGACTGCAAGATTGATAGATATTGTGGTGATCTTGATATTCAGGCAATTGACATGGTCGGCCAAACTGGTGAATTGATTCCTCTAATTTTTCTCATTACCGATGGCACCGTCGAAGATGAAAGAGATATTTGTAATATGATGAAATGCTACCTTGTTGATGGAGCCATGAATTCTCCGCGAATTTGCACATTCGGCATAGGTTTGCTCTTTTATCTTTATTCTTTTAACTATGTGGAATCTTATCAGATTACTCTTTAAAAGAGCACTTGAAGAGAAGTTCCAACATCTATTAAGAGTGTCTCAGAGTGTCGAGAGGGGGGGGGGGGTAGATGGGTGAGGAGTACAGATTGTCCCAAAGTGCTGAGTAGACTTTGGCTCTGATTCATTTTTGAGTATGTGGAATCCAATCAAATTACTCTCCAGAAAATCCCTTGTGCAGAAAAGGAGGTTTCAACGTATAGCGAGGAGAAATGGTCCAATACTTTGTTTTAACTTTAAAGTTTCCATTTCCAGGTTCATACTGTAATCATTATTTCTTGCAAATGCTTGCCAATATTGGAAGGGGATACTATGATGCTGCATATGAAGTAGGTCAGTTTCAAGAAAGATTAATCAAGCTTCATACTTCTTTTAGGTGTTCTAATTCAGAAAGATTAGTGTAGATGAGTCCCTTCTTTTACAAACTCAATAATTCATGCAAACTTACAAACTAGTTTTCATGTATATGAAATAACAAGTGTGAAAATGTAGTATTTATACAGTATTGTTCCACACACAGAATAGTCCTGCATGTTTCACATATAAAACAACATTGTATTTTCACACATGTAGTTTCATACGTGAAACAACTCATGAAAATTGGTTCATAAGTTTGTACAATTTATTGAGTTTGTAAATGGCTATGCCTTTAGTCTTGCTTCATGCTTCTTTTGCTTTGATTTTATCCGTTGTTGGCCAGATTCAATCAGTGATCGTATGGAACGCTTGTTTGATAATGCTTTTTCACCCATCGTTGCAAATATCACCCTTGATGCTCTCGAAAATCTCAAGTCATACGAGGTGCATTTATGATTATTCACTTAATTTAGACGTTTAATTTGCTTTTGTATCTGGGTTTTAGCTCCTACATTGTTTCTTGCACAGTTGTATCCATCTCGTATTCCAGATTTGTCGTCTGGAAGCCCATTAATTGTATCAGGCCGATACCATGGGAAATTCCCTGAAATTGTGAAAGTTAGAGGCTTCTTGGCAGATCTAAGTACTTGTGAGATCGATCTCAAAGTGAGAAAGAGCACCAACATAAACTTGGATCGGGTAATTCTTTTAACTTGAGCCATTAATTCTTGATCTGTTATGTGAGAATATGTAGAATCTCATTAGATTACTTTCCAAAAGAGCCCTTTAAAAGAGAAGAGAGGTTCTTCATTTATAGATGATAAATCGTACAAGTGTGTCTGACGTGGGACTCTTAACATGTTGGTTTCGGAAATAACAATTTTGTTTTTGTTTCCAGATAAGTGCTAAGAGAGAGGTGGATATACTTACAGCACAAGCATGGTTAAACCAAGACACACATTTAAAGGAGAAGGTTTAGTTCTTATTTCTTGATCTCTTTTTACACTAGATTGACAATTTGTTAGAGAGTCCCATTGTGAGAATATGTGGAACCCAAGAGTGTCAGAGTCCCTAGAATTGTCGACCTTGACTTTGATATCATATGAGAATATGTGGAGCCTACTTTCCAAATGAGCCCTTGAAGAAAGAAGGGAGATTTCAAAGTATATTGAGGATAAACTCTTCAAGTTTAGCTAATGTGGAACTCTAAGGGGCTGTTTGGTTGGTTTTCCATTAAGTCATGTATGGATAAAACTATCTGTGTGGATTAATCTCTCTGTATAGATTAGAAAGGTTTTTGTTTGGAAGAGTTTTTACAACGATGGAAGAAACATGTTTTTTAATTGGGATGGACAAGTTCGGAAAATTTTGGCTTTCACGTATAACTGACAGAATAAGCTTCGAGTCTCGTTAAGCTCGTTAAACTGCTGACAAACAGGCCCAACTCCCATAATTTGCTTGATTGTAGGTTGCGGAAATGAGCTTACAACGAGGGGTTCCTTCGGAATATACCCGCATGATTCTGGTTCAGAGCGATAAAGTAAAGCCAACTCTTGGATCACTTCTAGTAGAAGAGGTAAACCCGAGTCGAGAACTTGATGTTTTGAAGCGAATAAGTGCAGACACTTATGAATTTAATTGCAGAAATGTTCGAAAAAGATGAATCAGAAGATGATATTGCTGAGGAGTGTATGTGTCGGATTTGGAAACTTGAAGGCGACTGCAACAAATCTACCTCCAGGAATCGAAGACGTGAAGCTAAATGATGCTGCAAAAATGGTGATGAAGGCTGCATCGTCGTGTTGGGGGATGTTTTCGGATTGGTATTGTTGGAGGTGTTTGTTACAGGCTTGGTCTCGAGTGAAGAACGAGCAATGCGCCATTGCTGTCGCGCAGCTCTGCACTGCACTCGCCTGTCTTGAATCGCTCGATTTCTGTTGCGAACTGTGTGATTCGTGCATCGATTTATGCCAGTAGAAATATTGTTTATATATGTATATGAATGATGCAACAATAACTTCTAAAATGATATTAAAATCAGCATAATGTTATAACCAAAATTAAAAATAAATCAAAGAATTGTATACCTAAAGTGTGCTTAATTTCACTGTGATCTTCTCCTGGAGTGCTGGTTAACTGCATATCCTTCAAACAAATCTAAGACGGCAGTCTCCAGATATTCTACAGAGAATTTGATATAATTCTCAGGGTGTCTTCCACTCTCTATATGATTCCTGAATCTCCCAAGAAATGAACGATAAGCCGGAATCAGTTTCTCCAAGATCGAAATCCTTAGCTCCTCACGAAGTTGTTCATCGGGAATTAGCCATAGCGATTGAGTCCTGTGAACTTCATCAAAGATGGCGTTGAATGATTTGAATCGTTCTCTCAATGCGCTTTTTGAAACCCCAGATGAGAAACTTCCGGTGGAGTGTAATCCTTCGTCTCTCAGACAATGCAGTACTCCTATCCAGGTTGCTCGTTGGTGGTTCGTCGCGGCCTGCCGGAAGATCCTGGTTAGAATTCTCAGGTAATTGTCTCCGATCATATCCCTCAATTCCTGTGAGCTTTTGATTTTTTGGACGATGTAATGAACGTTGTTCATGATGAACAAATGAGCCAAGGAATTGTCTTTATAGTGTTTGGATTTTCCTTCCAAGTTGAAATGCAATATCGAGATGATCCAGATTAGATGGAGAGCTAACGGCGATTGCCCCTCGTGATCGGTAAAATCTATATCTGGAGAATTGGAATCACCGGAGAGTCGAGAAGCGGTTGCAGGTTTGGAGACGATTAATTCTCCTAGAGTTTGCTTGTAATCTGAAATCAAGCTTATGTAATTCATCACGTACCTTGTTAATGGATGAATAGTCCCTCCGGGTACCGGAACCCTAGATGGCTCGCGAAGGACCGCATTTTCGAACTCCGATAGCATCCCTCTGGCAGCCTCCGCTAGTCTGGAGAGTATCTCCGTCACCTGAATACTGATTGATTCGGCTGCTTTGGAGTCAAAAACGTCGTCAATGTCAGGCAACAAATCCAATAAGGAATCGTGTAAATCTAAGATCTTGAACAGCTTCTCCGGCGACCTACGGCTGATACTAATGGCTTCCGCGAAATTGAAGAGTTGAATGGCCGGACCTTTCACTGTTTCCATGAAACAGGCATCATCAGCTGCCGTTCCGAGATCCTCGAAGATTTGTTTGCAGAGTCTCTTCTCACTAGCGAAAAGAACTCGAATGCAGACTTTGGCAGCTCGTATCCACCTTACGATTTTCGCATTCAACGCCTCCCATTCCAGCCTCTGGATATCACCGATGCTCAATTTCTCAACACCGAGCTTCTTGAAGCTCCCATCCACCACGGACTTCCTTACGCTTCCATACACCTGAACGCACTCCCTGAAGTAACCGGCGGTGATCATACGCTGAGCGATGCAACGGAGATCAGATATGCTTTCCGGCGGTATGAGATCTTGCTCTCGAATGCTGTTCATAGATCTGCAGTTGACAAACTTGTTGCTGCTTCCGATGCGTTGGAGCAAGGAAGAAGAAGGATCTCTAGGAAGAGCTTCGTCTTCGCCTCTGGTGGTGTATTCATCGTTGTCGGTGCTGGTTCTGGGAGTGAGGTGAGCAGAGGAGACGGATTCGGTGAGCGATTCAGTGTCGATGGGAGTGGAGTTGGTGATGAGTATATTGCGAAACTCATCCTCGAGACGAGCCATGGCGATCTGGATTGCATTGGTAGATTGGGAATCGACTCCGTCATCCTCCGACAGAGTAGTTGATTGGATGGAGGTTTGAATTTGATCGACAGCCTGCAAATAACGGTCAATCTCTTGGCGATCGCCTTGAAAGATCATGGGGAGTTGAGAAGCGGTGGAGTCCCAGCGGAGGATAATCTGTTGGGCGGTCTGAGAATCGTTCTCCGGCGGTTCCATGGACGTGTGAGTTGTTTCTGGGTAAAACGAAAAGATTGAATCTTTGTTTGTATGGAGAAAGGTAATGTGTACGTGTATCTCTTTCTCTTATCATATCATTTCTTTTTGGCTTTCTGTAATATTTTACTTTTGCAGTTTTTCAAGAAAACGTATATATATTTTAATAAAAAATTTCTTTTTATTTATATTTTAATAAAAAAAATTCTTTTACTAGATCTCATTTCCATTACCAATTAAACTTAAAAATATCAATAAATTTTATCCCAAGAATACTTTTATCCTCTAAAGGTTTATTAAATAAAAAAACAATACATCTTATTGACTGAAAATACTATCCGACAAGGTAAACGAAGATATGATGATGATCACTCTTGTAAATATTTTTAGTATTTTTGTAAATTGAAGGTATATAATCTTGAAACTTATCCTATTTTTGTAAATTGATTTAACTACTTACATCATCTTAAATATATATATATATAACATTTTGTAAAATATTATAATTTAGTAATTTGAAAGTATAATGAAAAGAGAAAAGTAAAAAAAGATGGGAGGGAGTGATTACGGAGAAAGCAAGAGAAGATTCTCATTGTATTCCGCCTTAAAACCCGATTTCCATGTGGCCCTACAACTAAGCCCTTGTATATCCTAAATATAAAATTTAATCTGATGTTCAAATGCTTATTTTATTTTTAAACTTAACACAAACCATATGTTTTCTTAATTACTGCTTAATCTTATAATGTATTTGTGATTTTAATCAAATTATCGTTTATTTATACCATTGGATTTAGAATATGAATCGTTGGTTAAGCTATAACACGAACTAAGGTATATAGAATAAACGTTCGTGTAGACTAACTATAACCAAGATCAACCCATGGCGTCAACCTGTCATACATCCTTGGCTAATGGTTGGGGTTGAGGGATTAGGGTAGCGCCTAAAATCAATGATTGTTCATCAACGTTTATAAAGACTAATGATTTAGCACTTATTTGTGTTCCAGTAGCGTTACTAGGCACTGGTGTTTTATATATCTAGCTCGATGCTTTTTTATGGGCTCGAACTCATCATCGATTAACTCGTTTATAGGCTCAAGGTTGATAATTTATCATATTTTTATTGTATGATTTATGAACATATGAGCATGTTGGCTTGAAAAAATGTTTACTTGATTGGAAGAATTTGACTTGAAAAATTTAATCGAGTTTTTCAAATAAGCCGAGTTCGAAGATCGATGTTATAAAACTCGACTTAATAAGTTAAACGAATTTTATTTTATATTCGAGATCAACTCCAACTTAAAAATTATTAAACTCAGAATTTGAATAAGTTGTTAAAAGCTAAAGTCTCTTACAGGTCATGTGGATGCTGAAGTTTAGAAAAAGTTGAAGATAAATGTAAAAAAGGAGCAATGCATGATGAGGTTTATAATAATAATAATAATAATAATGGTATGATGCCCCTTTGGACAGTATCTCTCTGAATCCGGTGTGCACGTGTGATTCATATCATATTCCCATCCCAATGCTCTTTCAAATTTTAATTATTATTCTAAATTTTCTTATATTTTAAAATTTTATAAAAAAAAGCTTATTGATTTATTATGGTATGATATTAATAATAAACAATTTTAAATATTTGGATAAATAGTTTATATCGGTGTCAATCTGGTAATAAAGAGTTTTTAAAGAAGTTAAACGATTCTAATTTATAATAAGTTGATAAAAACTTTTGTATAAAAATATAAGTTATTTCAAATAAACAATCCCAAACATCCCTAGAAGGATCAAAGGGGATCAAAACAACAATATGTCCCAAAATTCATAAAAACACTTGTTTTATCATGGTTTGAAGTAATATTTAGATTTATAACATCCTCCTCCTATCTATCAAAAATATACACTTTCTTGGCACCATGGTTGGAGTGAGTCCAATGATGGCTAACTTTTGTGCATCTCTCCCACAATTTCAAAAACCATATAGATAGATAGATAGACAGTAAATCTCATATATAAAAAACTGAGTCTGAGGCCTATTATGATACATGATACCCAAAACTATCATTACGCCCGTCTTTAGATTCACCTCCCCATGACTTATACGACGATTCTGATATTGTACTCGCAGCATCCCCGTATGTGTCTCCAAACGACGGGAACATCGCAATCCTGCTCTCGTCCCCACCTTGAATATTCTCTAGGCTACAAATTGCCTCCCGAATGTCTAACCGTGCCCCTGGATCGCTCTCCGTACAAGCTGCACCGATACGTAAAGCCTTCTTCATTTCGGCGACGTATCTACTCGATCCGGCCCCCATATCCGGATCCAACAACTCCCCTTCCCTTTGCTCATGCATTGCAGATCTTACCCATTGCACCACGTCCGTCCCACCTTTCCCGCTGTTCACGTACTGACACGGGAATTTCCCTGTCACCACTTCGAGAATGATGATTCCTAGACAATACACGTCGCATTTGGGCGACACTTGACGGCTTTGTATTGCCTCGGGAGCCTTGTAGCCGGCTAACGCATTTGCAACATGATTCGTATTGATCATGCGATGTAGACCAAAATCTACGATTAGTGGCTGGTAATTGGGGCCCATAAGAACGTTGCTCGATTTGAGATTTCCGTGAGGCAACTCTAATATGGCCAGTTCAGAGTGAATATAACCCAGTCCTCGAGCGATCCCTTGAATAATTTTTAATCGGGCATGCCAATCGAGCTCCGAGTGCCTCATTTCGCCTTCACCTGGAAGCTTTAGACCATCATCATTAGTACATAATTAAATTGTGCTAAAAAGAGGCTATATTTATATTTATATTAACACTCCCCTTTCATGTCAGAATCAGGTCATTCAAGCATTGAGAATGTAAAAAGCATGTATTGATGTTGATGTGTGTGAGGAAGAAATTCATGGATAGGGGTGCATTAAGCAATGCATAGGGGTGTATTTAGTCACCCTCTCCAACATTTGTGCTATATTTTTTATTTATTAAAATCCAGTATTTTTAGTTAAAATCTTTAAAAAGATTTACATCAAACTCCAACAATTAGGGACTATTTGGTTAATGGTTTGATACAAAATGATTAAGTGGTCAAGATGATTAAGAGACTCTTATAATATAGTACATCATGAAATATAATTGTTTGGTAATTATTCAAAATGAAATTAAAGTGTTGAATGGTTAAGGGAGGTCGAAGACAAAACCGTTCAGAAGGTTTTAGAACCATTAAGAGGCAGATTTTTTTTTTGTTGCTAAACAAGATTTACCTCTTAACGATTCAGAGACTGCGTTTTAATGGAACTATTTTAGCATAGATGTCGAAGAAATACGCAAACTGTTTTCAACGTCCAAATTCGTTTGTCCATAGTTTTGATGCTCACCGTGCAATAAGTAAACTAAACTTCCACTCGGAATGTATTCGTAAATCAAGAGCTTCTCCTCTTTGCGATAATGACACGCGATCGGTGTCAAGACGTTCGGGTGGTCGAGTCTCCCGAGCCGCGTCATCTCGGCTTCGAAACCCTCCTTATCCACCATGTTCATTTCTTTCAATCTCTTCACCACCACCGTCATCCCGTTTGACATCATCGCTTTATACGATGACCCCAGCATTCCGTTTCCGAGCACCTCCGCAGCCGCCTTCATCACATCCGCCAACCCGAACCTTCCCTTGCTGTTGTTTAACATCATCAGCTCGACTTGCGCTTTCTTTTTAGTGATCAATGCCGTCTGACCCGTTCCGAAGCTACTTTGCCCCGGAATGGCAGACGGTTTGCTGATACTACAAATCGTTAAACCAACCGAACCTTCAAGATTATCTTTTCCCATCATCGCATTTCTTTCCGATTTATCTTTCTTCTTCTTCTTCTTCATCAACACGAAGATTCCGATAATCATTAGCATAAGAATCAACAGGGACACGGCCATGAGTGCGTATTCGATCCTTGTCGACTTGCTCGGCTTTTCATTCGGTTTGGGCTTTTTGGGAATCGGATCGCCACAAACCGTACCAAATTTTGCCCCACAAAGCCCGGGATTCCCTTCGAACGAAGCTGCATCGAACCTCGCCAAACCCGGTGGAACTTCTCCGGTCAAGTTATTGTAGGAAAGGTTGACCGACTCCAAACTCCGTTGCCCGATTGCCGGAATCTTACCGGAAAACTGATTATCTTCAAGATGTAATTCCACAAGATTCGGGAGTTCGCCAATGGACGACGGGATTTTGCCTGAGAACCTGTTTCCATCAAACCATATCTTCTTCAGAGACGTCATCTCGGAGAAGTAACCTGCGGGAATTTCGCCGGAATATTGATTCATGGACAGATAAAGAGCCTTCAAGGAGCCAAGCTTATTGAATTCCGGAATTGGACCGGAGAAAGAATTGTTTTCGATGGAAATGATGCGCAAACCGGGCATTTGCGACAAGGCGGTGAAGTCGAGATGACCGGAGAGACTCATGGATCGGAGGTGAATGTTAATGACGAGTCCATTGGTGCAAACGAGACCAGCCCATGGTATGACTTGATCACAGGGCTTGGTTCCAATCTTCCAAGAATCAAGAGACTGAGGATCGTTGAGAGATTTCTTGATTCTGAGAAGGGCGTCTGAATCGGTCATGTAAGCTCTGATGATTTCTGGAAAGAGGAAGAGGAGGATGAAGAAGAGGAGGATGAGAAAGGGCGGTGAAAGGAGGAAATGAATGGCCATTTACTTAGCGGGGAGAAAGAAGAGAAGAGCGATGGTTATTGATTGGGTTGTCTCCATTGGGCTGAAAATCTGGTGTTTCTGTTTTTGTGATTCTGGTGCAGATGCAGACCATGGAGTTGAATTCAAGAGGGTCTCGGAATGAATGCATCTCATTTTGACCAAGTCAATGATCAACCCTTGTGTTTTGTTTTATTTATTTATTATTATTATTATTATTATTATTATTATTATTATTATTGGTTTTGGTTATCGGAAGAATTAAGTCGTGTACTAAACTAAATCTATAAATCCATTTTGATACATGCCATGCCATGCCAGATTAAATCCAAATTATTTTTAATTTCTTATTTTAAATAACCATCAAGTGTTATTTTCTTGGGAAAAGTTCAAAAAAACCCAATGAACTTTATTGTTTGGAACGATTAAATCCTTGGACAATTTTTTAGAACAAATAAACCCTTGGACTTTCTAAAATCTGTCAAAAAAAACCCAATGGACTTTAGTGTTTGGAACGATTAAACCCTTGGACAATTTTTTGGAACAAATAAACCCTTGGATTTTTTAAAACCTGTTAAATAAGTCCTTGGACTTTTTAAAACCTGTTAAATAAGTTCTTGGACTTTACAAAACCTGTTAAATAAGTCCTTGGACTTTCTAAAATATGTTAAATACATTTTGTTAGTGAAAAAGATATGAAAAAACAATGGATTTTCATATTTTGAACGATCAAGTTCATAAATATTTTTTGAACGAAAAAAGTACTTACAATTAAAAAAACAAATATATCATTCTCATTACTATTCGTAAAATATACAAAAAATGAAACCAAAGCATAATAATCTRCAWACACATTTTGGACATAATTTTACCAAAAGTTAAACGAAAATATATACCAAAAGTTGAATCAAAGTATGTAACAAAAGTTGAACCAAAGTATGTAACAAAAGT